CCCCCGCCATGTTCCAAGATAAGATTCCCAGGGCAGTGGAACAGAGGGAAGCATCCTGTGTCCTCCAGTCCCTAGTGATGTTGACACTGAGCCCTTTGACCTGTTCTCTAGCTCGATGCTGCCCATGTCACCCACAGCTATGGGACCCACCATCAGCCTGGACCTAGAAGTGGATGATATGGAGATGGAGAACTACGAGGTCCGTGCTGGCAAGGAGGTGGGGCCGGGGTTGGGGATGTTGGGCGTCCCGGCACCCCCTGGGTTCACTGATCCCTCCCCTCTCCCCCTGTCCTGTCCCGTCCAGGCCCTCCTGAACCTGGCCGAGCGGCTGGGAGATGCCAAGCCCCGGGGTCTCACCAAAGCCGACATAGAACAACTCCCGTCGTACCGCTTCAACCCCGACAGCCACCAGTCAGAGCAGACGCTGTAAGTCCTGCTCCCTGATTGGCTGGGCTGCAGAGATCTCTGTCTGGAAGGATGGCGGATTGGGGGGGGGGTCCTCTGTGGTGAGTTCTCAGCATGGGGGTGCCGTTTTGTACCCTTCCAGATGCGTGGTCTGCTTCAGCGACTTCGAGGTGCGGCAACTGCTCCGAGTCCTCCCCTGTAACCACGAGTTTCACGCCAAGTGTGTGGACAAATGGTTGAAGGTAAGATGGCCGGAGCCGGTGGCTCACGCCTGCTATCCCAGCCACTCAGGAGGCTGAGGTCTGAGGATGGCGGTTCCAAGTCAGAATCTGTAAGGCTCTCATGGCCAGTTAACCAGCAAAAAGCCCGAAAAATGAGTTGCCTGCCTTGGTAATCCTCGCTCCTCAGGAGGCTGAGATCTGAAGATCACAGTTCGAAGCCAGCCTGGGCAGGGAAGTCCAGGAGACTCTTGTCTCCACTGAACCACCAAAAAGCCCCAAGTGGAGCTGTGGCTCAAATGGTAGAGCGCCAGTCTTGAGTGAAGAAGCTCAGGGACGGTCCCTAGGCCCTGAGGTCTGTCACACACACACACACACACACACACACACACAGCCAACCCAAATCAAAGTCGGTGGGGTACAGGCTGTGCGATCAAAACCTGCCTGACTCCCCCCCCACCCCACCCCACCCCAGGCCAACCGGACGTGTCCCATCTGCCGGGCCGATGCCTCTGAGGTACCCCGAGAGGCTGAGTGAGGCCCCACCGCTGGCCACGAGAACCCTGCCCGAAGCTCTGGAAACATCCAGGGAGGACAGACGGGGAGGGAGGGGCCCAGGCCTGCCTCCGTTCCACCTACAACTCCAGGGCCAGCCCTGCGAGAAACCCCTGCAATAAGCCCCTGCATTTGCCAAGCTCCAAAGACTCCTTCCCCCCTTCTGCCTGCCTGTCTGCCCGCCCGCCCGCCATGGAGCTGTCTGGGTGTTACCCCCTCACCCCAGCCTCCCTCCTGACCACCCCTGAGAGGCCTCCTCCCTGCTGGCACTGGAGAACCTGCAGGTCTCCCCCCCTCCCGCCACCCCCTCCAGTGTGCCTGGTGGGAATCCTTGGCGCGTCCCCCTTTCTCCCAAGCCATGGGCAAAGGGGTCACCATCCTGGGTCACTCTACACTGAAACGCTGTGTCCACCACCCAGGGGGCCTTGCCAGGTGTGTAGGACACAGATGGTGGCCACCGGCCACTTCCTGAGTCCCTGCCTGGCTGCACCCCCAGACAGCTTGGCTGTGGTGGTCTAGTTCCTTAAGCCGATCTGTGCTGGGGCACAGCCCCCCCCACCCCCCCAGCCACAGCCGCCAAGGGCTGTGTTCCTGGTGACACGGCTTCTCCAAGGTGACACACAGGGTTTGGACCTGGCCTGATGATCCCCCCCTCTTGGGAGATTTTTTTTGTGGGTTTGTTTTTTTTTTGGCCATTTCTACTCTTTTTTTTTTTTTCTTTTCTTCCTGTAGCCCCAAAACTTGCGTGTAGAGTTTGGAGGTGTGGATAGTTAAGCCTTCTTTTGG